CAAGCTCGACACCGATCAAAGCTAGTTTGGCAAGGTCAGTGTAACGAAGAGTTGCACTGCCGACGTAGAGAGGCAGTAATTGATCCCACCATCCCATTGCATCCTTTAAYTGAACCTACATTACGCGCTTCTGGATTTTACGGATTTGCCAGATTGGGATTCATCCAATTAGATTGGCATTTAATTACTGCGCTTGTGGAACGGTGGAGGCCATAGACTCATACATTCCACATGCCTGATGGAGAGTGTACTATCACTTTACAAGATGTAGCGGTGCAGTTTAGGTTACTAGTAGATGGCGAGCCTGTTACTAGTCGCGTTGATTATGATTGGAGAGGCACCTGTCATGCATTACTTGGGGTGACTCCAGGTGCTGCGCACATCAGAGGCTCTAGGCTAAGTCTACCTTGGCTAGCTTCTCAATTTCGTAATCTAGGCCGACGATGCTGATGAGAAAACCATTGCCAGATACGCTCGTGCCTATATTATGCAGCTTATCGGTGGTAGTCTATTTGCCGATAAGTCTAACATCTTGGTGCATTTAATGTTCCTCCCACTATTAGTAGATTTCGAGGTAGTTGGACGTTTCAATTGGGGTAGAGCATGTTGGCATAGTTGTATCGAAATCTGTGCAAAGCGTGTCGCTTTGATTCACGTGACATTGCCAGTCCAATTATACTTCTTCAAGTATGGGCTTGGGATCGATTCCCCACGATGGCTCCACAGCGTCGTCACAGCTCAGATCACGAGCTCATGGGTCGACCATTAGCTGCCTTGTACGTCGATATAAATATTGTCCTATTTTTCTCTTAAAATTTTTTTACGCATTCAATTGTTGTACTAACCTATAATATTATTGTAGGTGGAGAGATCAATTTTGTGTTACAGAAGTAGCTACACATGTTTTGATCCAGTACAGATACATGTTGGACCTCTTGTCACCAGGCTTGGTACGATTTTAAGTGTTAGAATACAAAAATATATATTGATTTATAATTAATTACACAGTTTTTTATTACAATTTTAGATAAACTGGAAGCCATATGATAAGGAATTTGCCAACCTACCCGACTTTTGTGTCAATGGACATAACGTCTGATGCACTGTGAGTCCACTCATATGCTTTCATATTGTGGAGTGGCATTATCCTGATAGAGTTACAAGACAATTTGGTATGAAACAAGCAATTCCAGAGGTGCCATGCTGGGATAAGAGGATACATGACATCGACATTCGGGATAGCACCTGGCAGGATCAGATGACACATTTTGTGGCGAGGTGGAACATACGTAGAGATTTTCTTGTTATCAATCCTCCAGTGACGACGTTGGTGCTTGCGATCCAGGATACATGAGCTGGTATACGTTAATCACCAGACGATATATAACTCGAGAATGAGCAGCATTTGGTGCTACGGTACAATCTTTTATTTTGTTATAACAATTATTCAAATTAATCAATACATATTTATTAATTTTTTTTCATGTAGGCTGCGTGTTTCGAGAAAATCAGTGTTCTCTCGTCATCAGACGAAATTAATACGTTGTGCAACGTTGACGGAGACATTTTCAGAGCCTTAATCAAATGTACAAAGTACCTACTCCTGCTCGTGGCCCTAGGCGTAGAGGACGACGTCAAGTAGACCAAGATGCTCCAGTAGGGCTTGAAGATCCCGTATCTGAAGTTATCTATCATAGGGTTGAAGACATTCCACCATTTACACAGACACATGATGATGCTAGTCCGTCCACGCCTATGGTCATGATACCGACTCCCGGTTCTAGTCAGTATCACACACCATCTTTGTCGCCGCAATATGGCTATGGAGGGGGCCATGGACGTGGACGTGGAGAGCATGGACAATACTTCAACCCTACGGAGGATCGACATCCTACATAGAGTCAGGAGACACTAGCGGCACCACTAGTTCGTCGTCAGCCACATCGTAACCGGCGATGTCCCCATTGTGGAATGGATTAAATCGATAGACTGTAAAATGACAGACTTCAAACATTTTTCTCTAATTTATAATATTAATTTCCAATTTTGAACTACCATGGACAACTTCATGATTCTATAAGAAAAATAAAATATAAATTTTTGTTTATACAGTCTAGGAATAGAATACAGTTTAAATAAAAAATTTTGTTAAATTAAAATGAAAATTAATAAATTTTGATAAATTAATAAAATATAAAAAATTTAATAAAATATAATAAAAAAAATTAATGTGGTCGTCTCTTCAAGAGATGACCACGATTGATACAAAAAAAAAAAAACAAGAGATGGTCGTCATACGTGGTGCCACGTTGCATGCGACCATCCTTCACTTTTTTAAAACAAACAATATTTTTAAAAAAAGTTTCAAAACCTACCATATTTTAAATATTTTTAAATAAATTACAATATTTTAAAAATAAGTTTTATTTACAACTATATTAATAAAAAAGCCTCCAAAATAAAAACTAATCACCCAATTTCACAATACATTCTCTCTCTTCATTTAAAATCACCACTTCTTCTCTTTCCTACTACCTCACAAGTAGATCCCACAATAACCATTCAACCTAAGAGTGTTCACGGATTGGGTTGGATCGCATTAGGGGTACTTTTGAGACCAACCCGAATTTTAGGATTAGCCATACGTGGGAACCGACGTGTTAAAAATTGATGGCCAAGCCAACCCATTTTTGGGTTGGGTCGGGTTGAGTTGTCGGTTTGTCACTTCTTTTTTTAATTTAAATTTTATTTTGTTTATAACCTAGACCAAAAAGTGTAAAAAAATTAAACAAGAGAATCGTTTCCTCTGCTATTCAATTTCGGCCATTCTAATCCGAAGACATAATAAATCTTCTTTCCAAATCTTCCAAATCTTCCAAATCTCCCAAATCTCCCAAACTTGTAGTTTGAAATATAAAGCAAAAGAGAGAGAAAAAAAAAACATATGCGGTGAGGGAGGTCTGCGATGGAAGATCTTGTACGTGAAAAGAAATGAATGAGATGATTCATTCCTCCCCTACTTCAAATTAGTGGTGAAGACGACGATTGCGACAGGATGTAAGGGCGGCGGCAGCTGCAAGTGTAGTGGGCAGTAGGCGGTGGCGGCCACGGATGCAGCGGGCAGTGGGCAGCGACAGAACTGCAACAGAACTGCAGGGGCGGTGATGGGTGCAACGAGAAGCTTGAGTAAGGAGATGTTACGAATCCCACATTTAAAATAAAAGGGACCTTACAATGGTTTATTATAGACATAAGCTACTCCGATGGAACACCATGAATATATGGTATCARAGTCCAAAAAGCTGAAATGAACAACCGGTCAAAAAATGAGATTCGACCAAGATCGATGAGACAGAAGAGTCGAGAGGGCATGTTAAGGATCCCACATTGAAAATAAAAGAGACAACAATAGAGAAGAGAAAACTTAAGGATGAGATTAATCAAAATGAGGGAGGAAGGAAGATGAGAAAATAAAAGTGAAAAACCCTAAATAGGGTTGAGATAAAAACTCAACAAACAGCCGTTATGGAAGATAATAAATGTATTATATATTTATTATAAAAATATATATATATATTAAATAAGGCTAATTCGGGTTGAGTTGTTCAATTAAACCTCGATTTGGGTTGGGTTGAGAATTTTCCAACTCGATCGAGGTTGTCAGATTCATCGAATTGTCGGGTTTTTTGAACACCTCTAATTCAACCCACAATAAACYATTCAATTTCTTATCATTTCCAAAGCCCATGTGAATCTCTTTTTCCTTTAAGCATTTTTTTTCTTTCTTGCTTAATTTTAAACCACAGATTTCTCTCTCTCTTCCATCGATAACTCCTCTTCTCCTTATTTCTTATCCCTTCAAAGCCATGAATTTTCTCATTTTCTCTACCATTTCTTCTTCCTTACTCCTCTGTGTTTTCATTCTTTTTCTCAACGAAGAAACCCCTTTCCACTTAATTTTTGTTGCACCTTCAATCCCCTCAAGAAAACTCATAAGCTCGACCCTCTTTATTCTTTTCATCTTCTTTCTTCAATAGTCCCAACAAATTCTCACTTCTCCCTCAGGTTTCTACCATAAACCTAAAAAATAAAACCTACCTCCTCTGTATAATCGATTTTTAAGGCGGAAAATATGTTGTCTTTAACTTGAATTCTTAAACATATAAACTGATTGAAAGAGTAACGCACGCGACTAAATTCTAATTTCCACAATCTCAAGCATAATTACTTACCAATTTCACTCATTCCTCTGAAAAATCTCAAAATGTCTCAAAATATGCCAAAACTAAACTTGAATCTTCCTCCCTCCTCACTCCTGAGGTCTAACCCCTTCTGTCCTTTGTTTTTCTTCTCCCATTTCTTCTCTTCTCTTTGCTTCCCTTCACTTTTCTTCTCTTCTCTTCTCTTTTCTTTCTTCCCTTATGCCATCTCTCCACACCATCACATGTACCTATGGATTCCCAAAACGAAATTCCTTTTGTTTTTGTTTTTGTTTTTAAGCTAAAGGACCAAAATGTCCTTATTCCAAATTTATTTATTTATTATTTTTTTTTTACAAAACACTAAACAGTCCTTACAGTGATATTTTTCTGATTTTTTAAAATATATTTATTCAATTTTTTGCAATAGTATAGATATGTTAATTTACCCATCATGTCGATGTCAAACTAAAGACATATAGAAATGTCACATATTGATGAAAATTTAATATCCTCCTTATCATATAATTTTGATTATTATCCTTTCAAGACAATGAATAATATTAATATAAAAATTGACTGAAAAATACTTTTCCTACTAATGTATTGGAGACGTGGGATTGAACCTCCAACAAAGGAGTAATGTATACTTAATCACTGAAATGTAGGCGATTGAAAAATAGTTAAATTGAAAGCATACACACACAAAATCATACTATAACAAGGACCATACATAATTAGTATAATATTTTGTATTAAACCATCTAGCAAACAACAATCATATTTTTTTCATAGGAACAACAATAACTTCATTTATTGCACATCATAAATTGTGCATAAGAGACATATATTTGCACTCTAAAGGTGTAGAATAAGCATAATATTAAAAGTTTTTATGTTATCATATATGTATCTTGATGATGGGTAGGGTCTTAAGATGGCTGAGTTTTGGCTAGTCTTTGCTTTTGCTTCTCAGAGGGAAGTTTGACATCAGTGGCCAATCCAATGGCTTGAAAAAGCATAATAAGATACCAACCATAGTCAATTTGCCACCATTCAAGACCATGTCTCGCTGAATACTCGAAAGCGTGATGATTATTGTGCCATCCTTCTCCAAATGTTAATAAAGCCACCAACCTTAAAAAAAATAAAAATAATGATAATAATAAAATACTTAACTTTCTAAACTTTTTTTTGTCATCTTCAATCTAGCTGATAACTGTTAACCCATAAACAACGTTCCTATAAGTTAAAGAATCTCGACCCTCACAACATTTTATTTTAATGTATTATTTACTGGAAAACTTGACAAAGATATATCTTTTGTTCATTCAATCTTATCAATATACATGTGTACAAGGACAAGTGTTTAAAGCACATATGGTAGGTTTAAGTGTTTGATTTCCGAACAAATTTTACAAGAAGATGAATGGTAATTAAGACTAAAATAGTTTTTTTTTTTTTGGTTGAGTACAGACCTTGAATAAAAGCATTTGGAAATAATTTTAAGGGGAAATAAATAAATAATATCAAAGTTTAGGTATCAAAGTTTGATTTGAACTCTATTTAAATCATGTTTCACTTGTGAATGGCAGAGAAAATGAAAGAGAGAAAAATACATTACCAGTTGTTCTTGGACAAATCACGTGTGTTCCATTGTTGCTTTCCCCATATATGGCATACCGAATTCACCATGAATGTTAAATGTAAGGTCACTACGATCCTCATGCACTATGTGTAGGTTCAATATAAAAAAAAACATTAAGGACTTTAGTAAGTAAAATATTTGATAGAAGAAATTGAAAAATTAGCATATAGTAGGGAGTGACTAACATAACATAATTGGATTAAAATAGGGTGACATGCCCAACTCATTAAATTAAAACATAGTTATCACAAGTTAGTTAATAAAATGGTACAGCAATGAAAAATCATCACTTATTAATCAATTTTAATCTTATATTTAGCGGGATGGCAAGAACTTTTTCGGAAAAGAATAAATAAATACATCAAAGATGAAATTAAAATTTTAAGTTTAAAAAACTCTAGAGTAGAAATATAGAGAGAATGTCTTTATATACGTAGTTAAACGATTAAGACATCTTGTACTTTTCTATTGAGGTTGAAGGCTTCAAATTTCACTCTTACACATTTGTTGTACTAAAAATATATAGAAAGGGTGTGAATATATGAATTATAACTTTGTAATAAAAGAGAGAAAACAAATGAGCGGTGATTTCACTTTACCATTCCCCAGATAATATAAGGAACTCCTCCGACAAAATAGAGCAAGATTGCAAGAGCAAATATATGAAGAAGATATGTCTTTTGCATAAACCTATAAAAGGCTTGCTTCTCCAAGTCGTGGACATTACTAGGATTTCCATGCTTCAAGTACGTCATAAAGATGTTTCTTTCTATCTCTTGAAAATCATTAAAATAGTTTGGACAAACCCTTTTGGTCAAAGTATAAGAATCGAATAACCATATTATATGGCTAAACCAAAATCCATTAGTAGGACTATGTGGGTCTCTTTCAGTATCAACATATTGATGATGAGACCGGTGTGTGCTTACCCAATCAATTGGATCACCCTACAAATTCAAAAAACAATCATTTATTAAAAAACACACAATAAATATCTACAAACAAATTATTAATGAACTTTTGGAATATTGTAGAGCTTCTCCCTTAAATTAGGCAAGTTGACGTTCCATAGTTCAATGAAAATAAATGTTTTCCACGTGGGGCTCATTTCAATGCTTGACCCCTGTGATTGATATAATATTGTAAAAGCAAGTCCTATGATTTGATGTCTAAGCAATGTGTGTTATTTAAGGCCATTACTTGCATGGTAAAAAAAATAAATCATTTTTAAGCTATTAGGTATTGAATAATGTGCCGTTTGAACTAAACTACTCAAGTTTAATTTACATATTCCTTTTGGATCCAAACAACAAACCTGAAATGCATGAGCTGCGTAGTAAGCAAGCAAATATTCAAGCCATTTTGGAAGCTTGAAGCTCCGATGTGCAAGATTTTTATGATACGAGACACTAATCGCAATACCTGTCAAATTGGTTAATACCAAAAAAATCCAAAAAGCACCCCAATTGAAATGGAACGGTGCCAAAATACAAAGTAGATGCAACAGGAAAAGGGAAGAAGCAATATTTTTATCCAACTTGGTCCACGTTTTCCTATCAAATGGCCTTAGAGGAAGCTTCACCATCTCCTTAGGTTCTTGCTTTGAAGCTTCCATTAGAAGGGCCTGTAAGTTGTTGACCATTTGAGGGTCCATGCATCTTCAATTTATAAAATGCAAAAACTAGTTGCTTTTTTTTTTTTTTTTGGTAAATCTTCTTACCTTTTTCAATTGAACACCACAAGCTTATAAACAAAGTACCACATTTATTTCTTTTCCAAGTAGTTGAATCTCCCTAATTTAATGCAGAAGTTAACGTAATATTTGCTTTCATCATCTAAGGGAAATCCAACCACTTGCCAAAATTTAAATATGGTACTTTGTTTAACATGCCGTGTTAAATTGAAAAAAGTAAGAAGATTTTACAAACTAAATCTCATTTGAAATATGTAAAATGTAATATAAAGACAAACTTACAAAAATCTTTTATGATTAAACTTTAGCGCACAAATTCTACTTTTTGTGGTTTTTTTTTCTTTAAATATTACATTACAAATGAAGGGTAGGAATTTCAATGCACGACGTATAGTAAAAACGTTTCTAATATCTGACCAATTATGTTATGCATAGAACTAAATATAAAAATGGGAGTTTTTTTTTTCTTTTTTTTTTTGGTTAGAAATAAAGAAATAAGGTTGATTGCTACTCCCACGTTGTGTGTTCCAACCATAGGCTTTCTCCCTTTGTAATTGGGTTAGATGAATTGGATTGTACACATGGATAAAGTACGATAAAAATCATAGCGATTAGACTTCAATTTATTGTAGTGTACCAAATCTTCACTCGGTTAAAGCATTAGAAACCTTCTTCACACGATGAAGGTGTTAATCTCTACCCTACATTCCCAACATTGTACTTGTTTAAAGCATTAATAAGATGATCTCAAATAAGATTCGAAGATGATTGATGATCTAGTTAGCATTCCAGAGCTCTTGTCAATATAGGATTCTCCAAAGTGAATTCTTAAATCAAAATGTTTGAGTACGTAACTCTTTCTTTCACTTTTTGGATATTTATTTAAAAGGGGGGAGATAACTGTTTGAACAATGTGTTCAACTCAAGGGTTACCTTTGTGATTTTGGCCTAGAAGATGCTATGAGATAGGGATGCAGTTAAGTAGTTACCCTTCAAACATTAACGATGAGTTGCTCAAGTTCGGAAGTTCCTCTATGGGACGSGCGCAAAGTGGATAGTTATCTCAATGATGACGTGTTTTCTAGTCTAATTCGGCCCTCATCATTACTCTCGAAGAGAAAACCAATTTAGTTTTGTTTGACATCAAATTATTATTATTATTATTATTATTTGTAACTTTTTCAAGATTAATCTCTACCTTACTCCCGCTCCCCTCACTGTCATCTTACTCTACATAAATTTTTCTCTCCCTACATACCTCTTCAACCCTCTAACTTTTAAAACATTAGAAAATAAAAAAATAGTTATCAAACATCTTTGGTTTTCTACTTTTTAAAAATAAACAACAAAAATAATTATTAAATATATATGGGTTTTAAAAACTAGAAAATAGAATACATAAAACTAAAAACCAAAAATAGAAATGTTCTTTAAAAAGTCAATCTCTTGGTCGATTTAATCAAGCCTTCTTAAGATAGGTTCTATTTCATTGGCTAGTCAGGACCTATCTGTTAAAGATCCCATATTGAAAAGATAACGAATCTAACAAAGATTTACAATATAGGTGGAGTACTTCTCTCGTTACAAAAAATATTAATGATTCTGTCAATTGAGTAAGTAATCGCCCCTTCCTATTATCCTCGGCTCGTTTTTTAGTTGAGTTTAGGGCCCACTGACACAATTAACCTTGGCCTTCCGCTATGTTATACTCTCCCCTAGATTTTTTTTGTTTAAATTTAACAAAATTCGTAGGTTTTTTTTTTTAGTTTAAAAAATAAATTAGAACTTTTTGTTTTTGTAAAAGAGTACAATTTTTACTTCTTAGGGTGTTGACATAGTGGTAAGATGTTTGGTTTTTAATATACAGACTCAAGTTCGAGTCTTTGCATGCCTCTTTTTATCATTGTTTTTACTAAATAATTATTTTAGATAAAAGATTTCGTTTAGAGTTTTTCTTTTTTTTTAACAAAATTTAAAAATACAAAGTTTGTATTTTCAAAAAGAACATAGRTTACATCCTAAGGTGGTGGCACATTGGTGAGATGTTGGAATGTCAATGCTTAAGTCACTAGCTCAAGTCTTAATGTTCCTTAAAATGAAAAATTTTTTGTTATTATTTTTTTTTACTAAAATAATTATTTTGAAAACTCCGATGACGGGAATTGCAACCCTCCAATTTACTCGAGGTGCTTAATTTTTCTAATGGCCTTCGTGTCACTYATACATATTAATTCATATCTTATAACAGAGTGTGAATCAATATAACATGGGACATTTSGATCAAAACAAAAATATTTTTTTTCTTGGACCAAATAAAATAATAGGATAATTTATGATAAAATGTGGTACCGTTTTCGAACGGGTGTCATAGGGTGCTAACACCTTCCCTACGCTCAGTCGACTCCCGAACCAAAATCTGTTTTTCGTAGACCAAGTTTTTCAAATAGGTGACCAATCACACCTCGTAGATGATTGGTGGCGACTCCAAACCCTTATCTCGAAAGAGACCCTTCAAGGGATGACGTCGGCCGCTCCGCGTCGCGATGACGTTGCGACATACCCTATTTATTTAGTACCAAGTTGAATGCATATTAACTACACAATATATGTCAAAAAAAAATTAAATAAATAAGAAAAAAAACTACATAATAGAACAGAAGTAAAATATTTAGTAGGTTTTTTAAATCTATTAGAACTAGTGTAATAAAATTTTGTCAAACATAATTCCTAGGCCATAATTCAAACTGGTTAAGGATATATCCTCGACTAAAAAATCGTGGATTCAATTCATTCCCACCCCAATGGTGTTGYGCTAAAAAAAAAATTATTGACATATTGACATTGTCATTGATATTTTCATACGTCTATGTATTGGATATTAACATAAGAGGTAAATCGATATTTCTAAAATATTGTTTAAAAAATCGACAAAATATAAAAAATATATCAACAAATTATCACTAGCTCGTATGGACATAATTAATATTAATATTAATAATTTTTATCTTATTTAAAAATAGTGAAATGTTTTTTTATGCCTAGTGAAATATTTATTTGTTAATTTAAATATTTATTATGAATTTTATATTTTTATAATTCTTCTAAAAATGTCTATCGACATTAACATTTTATAAATATTTTCATTAACATTTCTATAGAATTGAAATCTCGATATTTCCATTAGTATCTATATATGAACCTTGATTAGAGTAGAAAAATATTTTTTATAGCTAGAGAAAACTTCAGCAGTTTTTAAAAAGAAAAAAGAAACGTTTTTACCCTTTTCCATCAATATACAACTCAAAAAGGTGTTAAATATTTGAAACAATAAATAAAAAAACTATAAAACTAATAAATATCATCTATAAATTAAATGATTAAATACCAGAGTATTAAATTTTCGTCTATATAAAAAATTTAATCAACATTTCCATATGTATGGATATTAACACGAGAGGTGAACTGATATTTGTATAATATCAAAAAAATTCGATAAAATATTAAAAAATATATACCAACAAATTATATATCACTAATATGAACATAATATTAATATTAATAAATTTGAATCTATTTAAAAATAGTGAAGACTTATTTGTTAATTTATAGATTTGTTTTCATCCACATTTCCATAAAATTGAGACACATTTAAAATCTTGTTAAAAATACTTATATTTTCATCATTTTCTATTTCCGAAAGCTTTATAGATAAAATTTAAATTTATTAAAAGAAAATATGATTTATAATTTACATTTTAAAAAATAAAGGATCTAAATTATTTACTTTAATTTTTTTAAAAATGGCTTTTTTTTTTAATTTTCCAAAAATAGAAAGAAAAGACCAACAACATTTTCTTTAAAAATTAGAAAGTAGTAATACGGATGAGGTTGGTCATTGTGTGTGCTCCACCACTGCAAATGAATTCGAGATATAGTTTTTGAGAAAATTAGTCTCAGCATATAATTATTTCCAAATACATCCATTCAACGATAGAATTTTAAGTAAATCAATTTGCTAGAAAATATTAGAATATCTTTGTGCCAAAATCACTTTTATCATTATCAAAATCACTTACCTTTTCATTGATATGTTTCGTAAATTAAAAAATTGATTTATTAAAAAAGTTTTAAAATCAACGATTTTTGGAAATTCGTCGACTAGAATACGTTTAGCTCGACGGTTAGTGAACCATCATGCTAACCTGGTCGATGATTTATAAGCATTGGACAAAATAGGTTTGGTCCGTAAATCGTCGGGCTAAACCGGTCTAGCCTGACGGTTTCTGTACCATCAAGCAAAATTGATTTGGTCTAACGATTATCCAATCGTCGGGGAAAATGAAGTTGGCCCAACGGTTTTTCAACAACCACTTGAAAAACCAGTCTGGCCCGACCATTTTGCGAGATTTCTATAATATAAAATACTAATTGTCATACCCTCAAAAATGGCTAATGGAAAAAGGAAGAAGCAACATGTTATATCCATCTTCATCCCTTTTAGTTGTTGTTTTAAAGCTTCCATTAACTACAAGGGCTTTCTTTTAAGTTGGAGTCTAAGGCTTCATCATGTATTGATAAGGCTCTCTCTCCCAACCATAGTGCACACAACAAATGAGTTAAATATGTAAAACGGCAATGAAAGAATAAATGATTTAAGGTTTCACCTTTCGATAACCATTGAAGGAGAAAACGTCTAGTTTCTACATTTTTTCTGAAGTTTATCATAAGTATTAAGCCCTCTCGGGCGTGTTCAAAATAGGCCTCRAATTTGTTAGACTTAGAAGCATACCTTATGGAGAAAAATTCGATTTGATCTAAGGACCATATATATGACCTTGTCGTTTCCCTCTCGAGAGCTCCAAGCTGGATGAAGTCTATCATGCTAATCAAACCCAACAAGTTCTCCCCAACCGATCAAAAGT